TGATTCACGCTCGAGCCCGAGGTGCGGAAAGTGCGGCACGGCGCAGGTAGCAGCTCTCCCTGTGAATGGATTTTAGGAATCAACCGTGCCCGCGCGAACGGGCCTTGAGAGTTTGACGCCCTCGCCCCCCCCCCTCCCCCGCCCAGCTGATCGGTGTTATCTAATGTAAAACGATATGACGACACTTGAGATAATCGTACGAGCGTGAGGAGTAATCCCTCGGCCGGGTCCGGTCGGTTTAACGGTCGAGCGGAGTTGACGTTTGGAGCGAATCAAAGTGCAGGCGGGAACGAGCGCGATGCTGTTGAATTTCTAGGGGATCCGCGGAGAGGAAGGCGGCGATAACACAGGCCCGGCGGCGATAAGAGAGACCCCCCGGTGCCGTCGGGTTGCTATGGTAAAATGTCCGGCACGCTTACGCCGTTTGTGTACTGGGCCCAGACGGAGGGCCAGGTCACGCTGAAGGTGGACCTGACCGACGTCAAGGTACGTGTCGTGCGAGATAAGATTCCCTGTACCTCCCCGCCGACGTTACTTCTCGTCGTTTTCGCGTCAAACCGACGAATTCTGGGTTGAATGCCAACGCATATTGTCACAATCACACGCTTAATTTTGTAGGATCTTAATGTCAATCTAAAGGAGACCACGTTGCAAGTCACAGCCTATGGCCAGGGAGCTAGAGGACTGAACAACTACAGCTTCGACCTAAATCTTCACTCGCCTGTCGAGCCAAACGTAACGACAAGTCCAGCCTCTCGTATGCGTCTATTCGACACGAGTTGTAGCTGTAGGAGTAACCTGTGCCGCGGCGTTTATTGCAGGAGAGCAGTTACAAAGTGATCGACCGCGAGGTGGACTTCGTCCTGAGAAAGAAATGTAACGGTTGGTGGCCGAGACTGACGAGCCAGCCGCAGAAGCCCTCGTGGCTTAAGATCGACTTCGACAAGTGGAAGAGCGAAGACATGGACGACAACGAGGACGAGAAGCGCAACATTCTCAACGATTATCCCGATATGTACGATAAGTTGCACAAAGAAGAGCTCGGTTACAGAAAAGGTACGCGTCGCTAATAGATGTGTCGCTGTAGCAGCGTCACGGGACTAACGCTGTGCCTTGTTCTTTCAGAGGATTTCGCGAAAGTGTACCTAGTCGTGTACAATCTCTGTCAATTTGTCGGCTTCATTTATGTGCTCGCTGTAATGGCTATACGATACTCGCGCGACGGACCAGGTATAATCAGATTTACGCACATCACTTTAATACGCTCCTTTCTCTTGCGCAAGAAATCGGCTCGAAAAATTGTATCGAGGCTCCCTCGCGTGGAAATTTATAACAGTCGCCTTCTACAGAAACGTTTCCTTTCAACGCGACATTTCAGATTCCATGAAAGAAACGTACGACATGGTCGGCGGCCCAATCAAGTTCATACAACTTTTGCAATTCCTGGAGGTGATGCACCCTCTGTTCGGATACACGAAGAGCAGCGTGCTGGTGTCCCTGCTGCAAACGGGCGGTCGAGCGTTCATACTGTTCTGCATGATCGACGCCGAGCCGCGCATGCAAACCAAGCCGGCGGTTTTCTACCTGTTTCTCATATGGAGCATGGTGGAGATAGTCAGATATCCGTACTACATCACGCAGCTGCTGAACGTCGAGATATCCCTCCTGACGTGGCTGAGATACACGATCTGGATACCGTTGTACCCGATGGGCTTCGTGTGCGAGGGCATCATAATGCTGCGAAACATTCCGTACTTCGAGGAGACCCAAAAGTTCACCGTCTCACTACCGAACAGCTACAATTTCGCCATTCACTTCCCGTCGGTCATAAGACTTTACTTACTCTTCCTGCTCTTGCCCGGGATGTACACGCTAATGTCGCGTATGAATCAGATGCGCTCGAGGAAACTGAAAAAGCCCCAGATTAAAAAGAAGTACAACTGATTTTGCGTAGATGAGCGTATTTCCAGACTCGTATTTCTCTCTTCGCCTACGATCACCATCGCGCAGACGATGTACTAAAAAGAGTGCGTGGAATGCACATAGGAATAATAAGCTCCGTTTTAACGTACACAGCTTTCGTAATAATGCTGCAATTTTGTATAGACGTTTGTATGTTTTTATCGCTAGGTATCCGTGATAAAAGCGAAATTTAAATTTCATGCTCTAGTCGCATAAACTAGTTTCATTTCGTGGGTCTATTATTTATTGTACAATTAAATGCCGTGTAACGAGGTGCGCGCAGCGCGCGGCATATTTTCGTTCTGCGTGTGCCATTATTGTAATAAGAGCGAAAAGACTTTGCGATGTAGACATCCCATTCGACGACTATACAATACAAACATTCGACTACATTTCGTATAATAAACGGCGTTGCTGAGAATTCGAATTCTTAGGTATCCAAGTCTTAAATACAAACACCCTGTAGGTACGTAAAGGAACAGAATAAATCATGTAAATAGGATGAGCACGATCAAATTGTGTTTCTTCGGATGTTTATGAAGGAAGCTTATGAGAAAGCAGTGGAACGTGCAAAAATCGTAATTATACTTATAAAATTGATATTCAACGCAAAATATATTTGCTATTGCAACAGAATTCACTGAGGACAAATGTTTTATACGTTATTGCATTAACAGTATAGCAATATAAAAGTTGCTTACTGGTTATTGTTCCTTAAACTGGTTATTCTATTCGATTACATTAACATAATTCTTTCACTTAAATAATATTTTCCTTCCAATAAGAGAACAGAAGAGTTAAAACAAGTTGCGGAATGTCGAATCGCAAACTCAATAGATTTGAATTTCAAATTAACTTCGAAGAACATTGTCGATGTCCTCGACACATCGATATTCCTTTTTGTCGATATCGGTCGCGGCTATCTTCAATCCGGAGCAATGTTGGGAGAGGAGCCGCTTCTTGCGCATTCGCGATCGAATTGATATTAGATTGAAATTTGACCAATTGGAGTAAAAGTTACTAAACTTGAAATCGGTAAACTTTAAGCCCGTATCAGACTACGGATTGGGATTGGGATTAGATTGAAATTTAATCAATCACAGTAAAGTTTACTAATCTTAAGTTCAGTAACTTTTACTCCGATTGGTCAAATTTCAATCTAATCCCAATCTCAATCCGTAGTCTGATACGGGCTTTACTGTGACTGGTCAAATTTTAATCTAATCCCAATCTCAATCCATAAGCCAACGGCACACGATACTATTTTTCCTACTAAATTGCTTGCGAGAGCCAATCAGGATGCAGAGTTTTCGATCAGGTGACTTAAAACTGCATCCTGATTGGCTCTCGTAAGGAATCTAGTAGGAAAAATAGTAACGTGTGCCGTTGGCTATAGTCTGATACGGGCTTTAGGATTTACATGAGTCCTGTAAGAACCTATTCTGATGCTTCTACTGGAGTTGCATAAAAATCTTCAAAAGGTAAATAAGTCGTTCCATATTTGTGTATGGATCCAAATGTTGCTAAAAGAACTAGTTAAAAACCATATAAGAGACATAAGAACACATAAGAAGCATTGAAATAGGCTTCCTACAGGACCCATATAAATCCTAAAGCGGGGAGCACATACTTTTGCATAAATGCATAAGCTTATACATAACGAATTTGATTGGTTATTTAATTATAAGCAAGTGCATAAGGAAATGGACCAATCAAATTCGTTATGCGTGTGCTTATGCACTTATGCAAAAGGGCCATCGCACACAAAATTGCACAGCTGCATGTGCACAGCACGAAAACTGTTTAAACCAATGAACATTGAGCATTAAATCGTCATATTGATTTACATAAAATGCTTTTTGGTCTAGACTGTCTTGCGCTACGCATATGCAACTATGCAATTTTGTGTGCGATGGCCCAAAGTGTGTGTGCTTCCCGCTTTAATTCGAAACTGCACCGATGCTTGAACGCGCATGCGTCAGAAAGCGGCTCTCCTAACCTAACAACACTGATCCCGGAGTACTCCGGTACACGGTGTAGCTGGTACTGCTGGTAGTCCAAGCTAGCATCACTGGGTACACCTCGATGAACATCGATGAATTTGGTTAGGAAGCATGGTAAGCACGCCTGAGCGCACCGTCTGTAACTGGATGCGCGCGATCCCGTGCCTGGTCGGTTCAGTGAGATTTCATTTCGAGCACGCGTATTTCGCTTTATTTCAGACCCATGCGACACGGCGTTTAACGCATTTCAGAACACTCCGTTGCAGAATCCGACCTGACGCAGGCGAGAGATGACTTTCTAGCCGACTGTTCGGAGCTCGTCGCGACGTAACGGTGTATAACGTCGAGGCACACTTTTATTCCGAGTCGTTGCGAACATTGTAGAAAATGTACCCCGCTGACCTGACGAAGACGCTTTTGCCGGCGACCGCCGAGAAGAAGGTGTCGCTGAGCGACACCGAGCTCGACAACGTCGCCCTGTACCTCCTCGACAATCAGAAACGCTACAGAGAGAACATTATAATCCCGACGATGATGGGGCCCGTGCAGATAAAGACTATCGAGGAAAAGAGGATTGAGAGCGCGATGGAAAGCTGTGCGTTCAAGGGCGTCATGAGTTGTGTCTTGGGTACGTCTCTCCGCCGGTTTCTCTTCACACGCCAATGTCGAGCGTGATCGATATTTAACTCCTCGCAGTCCTACGTCGAGCCACTGACAAAACGCGGTAGCCTATATCGTACAACTCTTCAGTATTCGGATCTGTATGCTATTGTAGTTGGCAAATTATATCTTTGAAAACACAAGCGATAATCATTTTGTTCAGTAAACAAAGAACAGAGCATAGCACTACTTAGTACAATTGGCTATGGTTTTTAATTGACGGAACTTAATGCGGAAAATATTACCTCAGCCAGGATTTGAACCTGGACCTCCCCTCATACCAAGACGCTCGGTCACGGTAAGGGGAAGGTCCAGGTTCAAATCTTGGCTGAGATAATATTTTTCATAGTAAGTTCTTTTAATTACAAATTATAGCCGGTTGTGTCGAATCATACTAGTGCCTTATATCTTTGCAATATCCGTGAATCCATTAATAATATAAATTCCTTGACTTGTGTTAGATCTACCGATTTCATATCAACTACAAGATATTTTATATTCTCGCTCACAAGGAATAATCCGGATCGCAGAGAGTCGAGATTACAATTGTCACAGTTAAATAACGTATAACTAAAAAAACAATTGTCTCTCAGGATACGGCTTGGGATTGGCCTTCGGGGTGTTCACCTCCAGCCTGAATCCAAGCATAGGGAGCCTCGAGAAGCAGCAGACCGCGCGGGAGGTGCTGACGGAGATGAAAACCACGAGTCTCAGCCTCGCCAAGAACTTTGCGATTGTCGGAGGGCTATTCACCAGCATCGAGTGCGCAATAGAATCGGTAATGCCCGAGATACGCGTGTTAGCTTGATTTTCGGACAACAGTCTGCCGTTTCTCTCGACGCGTTGTAAAAGAACGTTCTTGATTTCAGTACAGAGGCAAGTCCGACTGGAAGAACGGCACGTATGCGGGCGGTGTAACGGGCGGACTAATTGGCTTGAGAGGTATCAACTTTCCCCGTGCATTACGATTGTCGATACTCTTCGAATCTACCTCGTTTGATTTAATCTCTTTTGTTTAACAGCCGGTGTAAAAGCGGGCATAATCGGCGCCGCGGGCTTCGCCGCATTCTCGACGGCGATAGACTATTACATGCGTGGATCGTAGACTGTACAGCGGAGATTGTTAAAAGATATATATTTGTATAAAAGAGATATAAAAATTTTTATGCAATTACGTATCTATACAATTCCTGTATAAAAACGTGGAAATGTCTTCAGTGTAAATATGTTCGTAAAACTAATATCGTGTGACTGAATTAAAAGCGTAAAATATATATTGCCCTTTCAATTAATTTACACCACTTAATATTTATCCAAAGTTTCGCGTATATGAAATTTCCTTACAATTCATACACATAATCACATTTCACGTATTTCGTTGTATTGCATGAAACAATTCGCACAAGGGGACACTCCTACGTGATATACGCAAAAAGTTCCTAAATCTGTCACATTTATCTTAAACGTTACGTTTTTACTCCTATCGTGTATGACGAATACAGTATTCATGTATATAGGAATACATATTATCATTTATATGTTTCGTGGACTCGTATATGCGTGGGGACTTGGAAGAAAGAAGTTACAAATGGCCGGTGTCGCAAGAAAAAAATGGAGTATATTATGTATTTAAGATTAACTTTGGATTATCCTCTCTTTTAAAAAGTGCTTTGGCACATTCATACTTCTTTACTTCTAGGTCGCTTAATATTAGAAGCTAAACAGTAGTTGATTTTAGATATAATCTGGGGTGATCAGTCAGATCCTTTTATCTGAGGATTGCATCATCCTTCTAAAGTCTTCATACAAACTGTCTTACGTGAATTCAATATGAGATTCTTTATTTGCTATCGGTAATATAAGTTTTACCTATCAACTTCTCGTGACTATATTGATATTGCTCAATTAGAGGAAATGATTCTTTTAATGCAACTGAAATGTTTGCAACAAACTGTTTGCATATTTATACACGAAGAAAGCATTTGCACTTCTTAAATATGTTAATATTCGTATTGTGATAGATAAAAGTTGCAAGGCACTTCTTTCACGATTCTTTTCCGTGTCATTCTGTTATATGATTATCTTTATTTGAGGTAAAATTCCTATTTGTTACGTCGCGTGTATATCTAATACTTTTTTTTTTATAATGCATGTGTAACTGAGATCTGTACTTAAAAGTTTCTCAAAATGGTAAGTTATTAGGCGCTACATGAGAGAGTTGCATTCGCAAATCTTGCTTCATTGGTCTCGTTTTTTTACTTACGTAATAAGATCTTATTTAAATTCTTATTATGCCTATGCTTCAATGCACGATATGAGATAAAACATTAAGCAGTTTGTTAATAATTAAGACAAAAATCACAAACATAGGAAACTGATAAATCGAAGACAAATACTCGTTAAAAAAAAAGGAGAGGGGGATTCGAACAATATTCTCGGTAAGTACTCGCACAGTAAAATCCTCGACGTAGAGCGATTCTCGTTCGAATGAATTTTGTTAAAAGGAACAAGCTACTCAAGTGCCTTACCTACCAACCTTGGATATGCAAACATTTGTTTCATACTGTGCCACAATTTCAGATCGATTCTATTGGTCTGTTTGTCTGGACAAGGCATTTGGATGACTAACGGAGACTGTCAAGAGCCTCGGCAATGTACACCTATCAAAAGACGATTAGTAGTTGACATATTCTTACAAAATATATGGCTGTAAAACGCATATCAAAATGAGATTGTCCTAATAAAAGACGGGAGCTCAAAAACATCGCGCCCGGAATCAAGATCTCGAACCGTGTGAGCCACTAAAAAAGTTTTATAAATCTTTTTGGCACTCGTAACAATGGAGGAGTCGCCTCCTTCATTTCACACGTCGGTACACAAACGCACGTTTGATCAAGGTTGCTGTTGTTGCATCTGCGCCTGCATCACAGCCAGCAATTCCTGCATGTGCCGTATCTCCGCCTCTTTTTCTTGCAGAATGCGATCCTTCTCCAGCACGGCGGTGCTTTTATCGGTCTCCGCGATGCTGCACAGAGAAAGAAACGGGAGGTTGAGATAACGCTCGTACGTAACGTCAGGTACGCAATGTCGTAAAGTGAAATGTTTGCCCTCACGTTTGACGTCGCGGCGGCACCGGAGCTCCCTTCGCCAACCTCTCGCTACGATAATTCTCGTAATGCACCTCTTGCGTTACTTCCTGTAAATCTTGCATATGCGTGCTACAAAAAAAAAAGAGAGAGAATAATGTTACAGCCTGTGTCCACGAAGCTAGAACTTGGTCCAAGAAATATGTAGCTTTTATGGAATAGCTGCAAGTTGATTGGCTACACATTTCTTAGGACTAGAACTTGGACCAAGCATCATGGACGCAGGCCTTTAAACTTATATCAACACAAGTGAAAATGCCATGTAGTTATAGCGAGAGCTTACATCAGCATCGTCCTTAACTTGATAAAATCGCAATGATCCGGGTTCTCCACTTCGACAACGCCCCACGGATACAGTCGACCGCGTACCCTCTTTCCCTTGACCTCGAGCAGGGTGTTGGCGCCGCACACCGCGAACGGCACGGCCTCCTTCAGTTGACGCACCTGTTCCTTGTAGTCCTCGTCCTCGTCGCTATCACAGTCCGGTAAGGGGTATATTTTGATTCCGTTGCCCTCAATCTCCTCCATGACCCTTTTCTTCAGGCGCAAGACTTCCTTTTTGGTAAGTACATCGGCCTTCGCTATTACAGGAACTATGTTAACTTTGTTATGAAGTTGCTTCATAAACTCGATGTCCAACGGCTTCAACCTGATTAACGGGAGAAGAACCGATTGCATTATCTGCACCGCCGTAATCGTCTCCGGCTTCGAACGACCGACTTAATTGTACGAGACAGCAATTTGTACCCGTGGCCAAACGGAGAGATGAAATAGAAACAGCAATGTATTCTATTGTCCACGATGTTCCTCCTGTTTAGACCGCTCTCGTCGCGAAGAAATCTCTCGAACTGGTCGTCTATGTACTGAATGATGGCGCGGAAACTGTCGGTGTTGTCGATCGCGTCCCCATAGCCAGGTGTATCGACGACCGTCAATCTAAGCTTCACGCCCCTCTCTTCGATCTCCACCGTCGAAGCGTCGAGTTTCACAGTTTGATTGGTCTTCTCTGTTTGGAAAGGTAAACGAACGGGCACTTCAGTCGCGTGGAAATTTGCAAAAATCACATTATACATTAAAAACGGAGTGCCTACCGACTGCGTCGGGAATTATCCGCTCGGGATACAGATCCGTGAGGAACAGACTGTTCACCAGGGTGGACTTTCCGAGGCCGGACTCACCCACGACCATGAGCGTGAACTCGAAGCCCTTCTTCACGGACTTGCGGTGCACCTGATTCGGCAGGTTCGCGAATCCCACGTAGCCGGGTGTCTCCAAACTGGCAAACTGGAAAGGAGACGCGCATCGATTAGTTGTATCTCGGGACAAAGAGCAAATGTTGGATCGTCGCGCGGCAACGCGGTGTGAAAGGGCGCTCGATTTTACTCCTTGTAGACTGAAAGACTCTTGTCGCCAGGAAGTAAAAGATACAAAATTCAGACTGCAAACGATGGATGTCTTGGATGAGAACGCGAAATGTTCTCTTTCGTTTCAGAAATATTTCTAAACCGCATTACTCGAGGGACGGACTCGGCGTGTACATCTCGAGGTATTTCGCAAGGGACGTACATTCGGATACATTCAACGTTTACCATTGACCAATTGTGCAATTTTTCTCTTTCGCAAGCGAAAAACATGCAACACGAGTTTCGTGCATTGTCGTCCGTTGCGGGTTGCAAACCCTTTTTTTTTACAATAAGACACTTGTACGCTGGGATCGAATTTACATCTGGCGAACAATGTTCTCCATTTACCGGTCGTGCGCCTTTTTTTCCTCTTCGAGCGAGAGAAGAAGCGTGCGCGACTGGTGTCCATTTCTCCACAGTCGACAAGTTAATTTAAATGCAAAATCAATCGCTTTTCCAGTTCTCAAAACTGGAGAGGGGCAAAAGGGGAGCTAAATCGCGATCGAAATCAATCAATCAGTCAACTGAAATCCCACGCCGAGTCCGGTCGCGGAGACTCGCCGATGACAGGCGGGACTCACCGTCTTCACGCTCTCGCTCGACATGTCGGGCGCGGCGAGGCTCACTGTTCGTTCTATGCGGTGGCTCGGCGGTTCGTGGCCGTGACGCGGCCGCGTGCTAGAACAGGCGGACCGCTCGGACGCGCGATGTCGGCCCCGACAGATACACAGGTTACCTCAGTCACGGACGCAGCTCACCGCGCCGATTCGCATCGCTCGGTTAACGCGGCCGCTACCACACGTCGTCCCGGTCGCACGGCACCGCGTCCAAGGCACGACGGCGAGTCTCTCTCTCTCTCTCGGGGGGGGAAAAAAAACGGGCGCGGAGTACCGTACGGGACGTCGCGTCGAGACTGCTGGGCGCAACGGAAGGCAGTGACGCGAGGGGACGATTGCGCGGTGGAGGGGGGGGGGGGACACGATGAATCGGAGTAAGTTGAGGCGTGGCAACCGAACAGCTGAACGGCATTCCGTTACGTTACGTCTCTCTCCTCGCGAAAAGTCACGCCGCGATACGATCGCGGGGCTGCGGTCAAGCCGCCGCCTCGAGGCGCTTCTCCTTCCCCCTTTTATCTTCATTGATTGAAAGGAAAAGGAAAATACCCGGAAGCGTTCGTAGCGACAGATTGACCGCGCAGTCTGCGCATCTCGTATTTGTATCGATATTCACGGGGAGGGGATCCACGGTGCGATGTATCGACTTCTCACGCCGGCAAGAATGATCGGTTCCAATTGTACATTCGACAGTGGCCAATCAATAAATCTCCTCGCCCCCCCCCCCCCATGATTTACTTTATGTCATACGTTTAATTGTATTTATTATATTCGTAGACGAAATTTAATATAAAGTAGCACTTGTCTCACAGGTCTGACGTATTAAGAAATAAAGAGAGCGAGAGAAGGCGCGCTCGGAATGTCAATATCACGAGCGCGCATCGCATTATTATTCGCAATCGTGAATTACATCCCGTTTACTTTGCCGTGCAAGTGAACGTCGCTTATCCTAATGCATTACGACGGATACGAGGCAAACAGCTACTTTATTCAGGAAATAGTATCATATACAAGCATCGTTTTACATATTTATTGTTATTTCGAGTTCTCGTTTTATTTTAATCTTTTTTTTTATTTGCTACTCTTACGACGTTCCTCGCAATTCCTCAACGTCACTGTTAGCACTGGTTAATTCATTACATAATTATTAATGTATAATAATCGGCGCATATCCCCCTTTGCATCGCTTCCCCCGCAATGTGGAAATTTTGATGAACCACTCGCATGTTATACCTAGCGATCCTTCATTCGTTCGGGTAGATTGGAAAGAAAAAGAAAAGAACAATCGCTTTAATAATATTAATGCTATTATCGTAACGAACGTACGCCTTGAACGGTTGATACACAATGATCAGCGTTGTACGGTGAAACGTAAAAATTCTATGGAAGGAAACGAAACCCTAGTGTGTAGTCGCCACTTTCCTTTGTACTTCTTTGAACCCGGGCTTAGTCTCAAGTACAGATAAGAAATACTAGCGTAAGATGAAATATACATGCTGCGACATTTTATATTTGTGATAGTTTGTACATATACCCTCAGTATTATTACAGACACGAAACCCAACATTAAATTGACAAGAGTATTAAAATGTACTCGTCTGCATAGCATCTTAACATCTTTTATGTATATAAATCGCTATCACTATCGGAGCATGCATTGTGCATACACATTTTCCTCTTTATGTATATTGTAGTTACAATTACTCTATTTTCATTGAGAAATCGAGAAGTTAATTTAAATACATAAGACATTAGAAGAAAAAAATGTTTATTCGTGATTAAAAAATGCGCGAAACTTAGGAGAACTGTAGTAGATTTATATATCTGTAATATATATAATATATATATGTAATATATATATTGCGTAATATTATATATATATATTATATGTATATTTTTTTCCTTGCAGGTGATACCCCTTGTAAGAATTAAAAAAAGGATATTTCCTGATTGTAAATATTCGAAGAATCACCACTAGATTTTTCAGGAAAACTATGAGGGAATCTTGGATTGATTTTAAAATTTTGTCAACAATGTTTCTTTCTCCAATTTCCACGGGGAAATCTGAGACTATTGATGATATCCTTAGTTTTACTCGTCCATTTTCAATTTTTCTTCTCGAGGCTTTGCACCTCCGTAAATGGAACTTGTTTTACTCGACTCCGCGATCGCATTCACAGGCTCTTTAACAGTCCTTGGTTTGAGCTCCAAACGTTTTCTCCCAGTAGTGTCTAAAGTAAACAGTTCAATTAGATATTAGTATAATAGATAATGCACATTGTTTTTTTCTTGAGATACAGAATAGTTTAAGGATAGAATAATTGCTCGATCAAAAAGTCACGATTCAATTTCTAATCACTTCACATATAAGGAAAAAATGGAAAAACATTCCTCTGTGATAAGAAATAAATTTTTAATTCGATGTTTACTTTGCGTAATTTCTCATATCCCCATTTATTCGTCTAGAATCTTTATTACATTGCAGTACCGAGATCCTCGGTGGAATTGATCAAGCGTTTTCCAAGACTATATACATACCTGGAGGAGGGACATCTTTGAAAGTCTCCTCCGGGAAGGGTTTCCGGTCTGAACCACTTCCCCGAAGTGGTGGTTTATTAGTGTACGACCTGCTAGACGTACTTCGCGACCAATCACGATTTCCACCTGTGTCGTCGTTGAATTGGCCGTAATTGCCCCTATTACTTCTATCCCATCTATCGTTCCCTTGCCTACTACCTCCCTGTGGGCCTCTATCGCTGTATCCTAAACATCAGAGCGAGTATTACAATTTTTTTATCGTCAACATTTGCAGTGTGTTTCATTTCATGACAGAGGTAGAGAGGAGTTAGCTTGGCGCTACAAGCGTTAGTGTTGTTAGTATACAAATACAAGATTTGCATCGCGTTCCGTTAACACTTGGAAAAGCGCATGTTCACTTGAAAATAACAATTTACTATCAAAATCATCGCTGAATCCGCTACGGCCGGAATCTCGTCCTTTGAAACCGCTGCCGCCACCGCCGCCGCCGCCGCCGCCGCTGCCGCCGCGTCCTCTCCTGTCGAAGCCGCCACCGCGATCGTTTCTTTTTCCCTCCGCTACATCGATCTTGATCAGACATTTGTCTACTTCTACCGCCCCGTCCATTTCCAGTGCTGCCTCCAGATCAGCCAGGTCTTCAAACTCGACATAGCAGAAGCCCTTGAATCTACAAGTGAGAGGAAAAGGTTTTAATTCGCTCAATGTGCTTGTATATATGTATAAATTCTCTCTCTCTCTCTCCCTCTCCTACAATTTATACACACTTGTCGGTATCCCTGTCCTTAACCAATCTGATGACTTTGACATTGAGCTTCTCGAAGATTTTGTCAACGTCGCCTTGCACAATTCCATTTGGCAAGTTTCCCACATACGCAGTGTACGGAGGTTCTGTTGGCAACGGTTTTCTACTTCGATGAGTGGAATAATCTCTGAACAAAGAAAAACACTTGTCTTTACATATACGTAAAGCATGAGTTAAAATCGTCGCATCGCGATCTTTTCGATTGCGACTTTGAATCCGGTTACATGCATGTATCGCGTCATCCCATAAAGAATGTGGCACAAAAGGTAACTCGATTTATTCCTTCATCTCAAAGAGCCGAGGGGCTTTTATCGCCAGGGAATTGAAACTTTAAGATCAAGACGAAAAGAAGTTGCAGATAATGATGGAAAGAACACGTTGGATTAGAACTGAAATGTCAAGCTGTATGTTTTATTTCAAAAATATCTCTTTAAAGACCACATAGCTCATGGGATGCTCCAATTCGTTTATAAACCACTACGTCCACCCGCAAGTGCAGATGTCTCCGCAGCGTCGATTATACCAGTCTAAGGGGGAAAAGACTTTACTTCTCTCTCAATAAAGTCGAATGTTATCATTACAGACGTACATTGGCGTAACTTCTCAAGATAAATCCGTCAAGTGCGCTCGGCCGCCTCTCTAAAATCGTATAAATCTGTGAATCACCGGACGCACAGAAAAATGACATGATCCATTCTTCCTTCCCGCAACCTCGCGTCTCTCAGCCGAGCGTATTTTCCAAGCAAGAAAGCTCCGCTGTACATATGTGTATATTGTGTATATGAGCGCGCGCGCGCGCGCGCGCACACACACGCGCGTGTACGCGTGAAGTAGGAGCATTGTGCGTCGCGGAGACGCACGTCGGAGTGCGGCTCGATGAACCGAAGGCGCGACGGCGAAGCCGGAACCGACAGCACGCTCGGCCGGGCGCGCCGGGATTCGCGGCGCCGCTGCAAGTCGGCACCGTCGCGCAAAACGATCCTTCCTCCCTCTGTCTCGGGGCCCCCGTCGCTCTCGCCTCCTCGCCGCGGCATGCGCCGCACGTGCACCGCTCCCGGCCGCGGGGCCGCGCGGCCGCGTCGCGCCGCTCGGTCGCGCGGCCGCGAGCCGCGGTAGCCCGGGCGGCGGAGCCGGCCCGGCCAAAATAAAGCCGCGTGTACGCGGCGCCTCGCAAGGTGTTGCGCGCCCGCACTGTCGCGTAACTCACTTAACCTTAAAACCGGGGGATTTACGCGCGCGGGACGCGCGCGTCCCCGACGGTCGGGCCCGGCGCACGTGCGTCCCCGCGGCCGNGGCCGCCCGCGGCCCGGCCGGCCGCGTGACACCGCCGCAAACGCGGCCGATACTTGCCTTGAATCGTCGTAACCACCTCGACCAGCCATATTGAATGCACGGAACTGACCGGGACCGCGTGAGTCGAACTAGTCACCGTGCGCGCGGCACCATCGCGCGCCCCGGCGCCAGTGATTTACCGACGTGCGATCACGGCCCGCGTCGCGCGCCCCGTACCAATCTTGCCGAACGAAACGACGGAGTCGGCCGCGCGGCGACGCGGGACACTATGGCCGGTATTCATGGTCAGTTCATATACAGGGTGAGTCACAACATTTGTGCCAGAGCTCGTGAGAATTGGTAGAACGGATCGAGATGAACAGAAAAGTTCTGAACCATTTGCAATTTTCGCAATAGTTAAAGGGCTTGTTTTCTGTTCCTGCACTGGTGAACTAGTGCAATAAATTGGAGTAAGACAAGTATATTTTTTCTCATTCTAGCTTACTGCACTAGTTCACCAGTGCAGGAACAGAAAACAAGCCCAAAATCGTCGTCTTTGTCGCGTCGTCTTTCAAGTCTATTTTCTCAAGGAACGAATGTACAAACGAACGCTGTCAAAGAAGTTGTCACACCAAGTTTTCAAAATCGAATCGTGACCGCTTTGGGCATCCGAATTGGGACCTGAAGCCACTAAAAAGGAAGAAGGGGAAGGAAGAAAAGTCTCCCTCGTCGATTCGGAACGCACGTTTCGATCAACGTAGTCCCGCACCTCCTAGGCTGCGTTCAGAAACCCTTGAGCAACAATTAAGGACAAAGTGATATACAGGGACACTCGGAGTGATGTTTCTGAACGCAGCCCTGGGGAACGTCGGGAGGAGCAAGATGGCCGCCGTGATGGACATACCGCGCGACACGCACATGGCAGAAATTACGATCGCGGACGACTCTGGTCGGCGGTGGGCCGACAAGATGAATTCGACCGTGCTGGACAATTTTCACAAGCTGAAGGACAGCAACCAGGCCGTGAGGCTCAACGCCGGGGTCGCGCTGCTCCATCACCTGCTTCAACGTAACACGGTAAAAATTAATCACGTTAACCTCGTCGAGCTACCTTTAATCCGGTAACAAGGAGAGAGAGAAAGAGAGATATCTAGTTCCTACGAGATACTCTCGGCCAGTTCTCACGCCGCGGCACTGATTTATCTCTGCAGGATCAGGAGGAGTTGAATTATGCGCTGGTCAGACTTGTGCGCAGTCTGGGATCCTCGAAGACGGCCACGAGAAAGGGATCCTACAGCACCTTGACGGTCTTCCTGAGGATGCGCGATGACACGTCGCCGGAGAAGCTGCTGGCCATAATGGACTCCCAGTTGCACCCGGCTGGCAGTAATCCTAAGAGCGTAAGACCTACATTCTTGTGTTTTGCCGGTTACAAAAGGGATATTTATATTAATGTAATATTTCATTTTTGCCCATAGGAGAACGCTGATATACACATGGGACGTATACTGCTGTGTGGTGCGTTGATAAGATCCCAGTTATTCGCTCAAATGAGTCACGAGACGCTGGAACGGACGCCTGAAGTCTCCAAGATCACGGAGATCCTGGTGAATTCTGGCAAACAGCGCAGCTACCTGTCGGCGATCTCCGTTATGTTTCTCGCGGAGTTCGCGTCTCAGCTTCGTTCGACAGTTCTACAGAATATCTGGCCAATTATTGAGAAGGAAATTGGCAAGCCGTGGCCTGAACAAACTTTAGATACTTTTTATATGCTACTTGTTCTTAATACATTCGAGATGCCATGTTGGCGCCCATTTTTAAAACAACACTTCAATGTGCATCAGATTATTGGCGAGAATACTGTGGAGGATATTGCTAGACTCTTGATGGTACGTCATTTAACGTTACTTAAATAATCTCCTTTCTACCCCCATCTGCTGGATACAACGGTTTTTGTAATAATTAATATCACTCAATTACTTTGGGATTTGTTTTTCGCTTTTATCATAGTGAGATATCTAAAATTACTTACATGGGGAGGCAATCAAACCTGAGTCTCTTGCTTGATAAGCATCTGCTCTCCCTAAACTATTATACTTAGCATTCCTAAATAAGCTTTAACAAAAGTGAAAAGTGGAGGAAAGTCCCCTATCAAGAGATAGCAGAGTTTCTGCTAAATTAATAGGCATCATCTGTTGGTTCCACCGTGAATTTATTGCCGTTGGGGTGAAATCTGTTTAGTGGAAAATTGATTATTAGATCGTGTAATTGGTGCGAAAAAAGATTTGTCATTGAATTTGGATGTTAAAAACCTACTATTTCATCATAGAGGACTTTATATTTGACTTATAATACTTATATAATTTCTTACTTTTTGTTATCAGAGTTTACCACGAACTACCTCTTATCGTCGTCATCCGGTGTTCAAGGTATTTTGTGAGGAGCTAGTAAAGACTAAACACGTGACAGACTTCTTCACATACATCGATCAGAGATTTGTAAAACCATCCAAGATTGATGAATATATAGCTGTAGAACTTTTACGGCTAATACTTGTTGATGTTAAAAATAAAGCTGTAATATCATCACTAGTTCTTCCAAATTTACTGCAACACATGTTAAAGAGATTTTCTAGTTGTAAGAGGAATAATAACGATGAAGTTTTGGTAACATTCAGAAAAGTTTTACATCTGATAGCGTCTGCTACAAATGACAAAGACATGGAGACAAATGAACAGCTGTGTATATTGAAGAGGTTTATATTGCACCCGAGTGATTTAATGATAGAAAAAAAGACAGGTGTCAAGGTGATTCAAATAATTACAGGAAATCTGAGGATGGATGGTATTAAGAAATTATGCGAGTTGTATAGAAATATTATAGAACATCATAGCAAGATGGCTAAAGAAAAAGAAGGTACAAAGACAGAATGGACAAATGCCGAGCGAAATTACATAGCGCAGCTATTAACAAGGTATAATTGATGCAAAAATATACGCGATAATATTTATTACAATAGACGTAGATTAAAAGAACTTAATATTTGTTATTGCATTAAATGTGAATTTTTCCGTTAGATTGATGGGTCGTCAAGAGACATTCTCAGATCAAGACTGGAGACTTGAGCAACTTACGTTCCTGTTCAATTATGGATTATGTGAAGTGTCAAATGTTGGCATAGAACTAGCGCGTAAGTATATATATATATATATATATATATATATATATATATATATATAGTGTATATATATATATATATATATATGCAGTTTTTAAATTATAAGCGCGAGTAAATTTAGTGGTTTAATTGTTTTCAGAACAATTGAAGGATTGCTTTTATCGTGCCCTGGATCATAAATTACCAAAATTGGATAACGTGCGAAGTCTGTTAAGCGCACTCATTCACGATATAGACTCAAAGTTGCAGTGCAACGCGATCCGATTAAGAACGCCATTAAACGACGCAGCGTCCGATGCTTGGAAAAAAGTGATAAGCTTGATTGGGAAACTCGAGAAGAATATAAACAATTCGGAAGCCTTGCCGATATTTCACACAATGAATTTACATATGGGTCTGCAGTTATTCTCAGATCCTGAAACGGCAATTATGTCGATTAATGAGCTCCAGTGTTGTTATGATAGATTGAATAAAAAGTCCAAGAAACACAAAAAGCTCAATAACGCAGCTACGGAAGAGGAGCCAGAATGGGTCGAAGTAGTAGTGGATCTTTTGTTATCTCTTTTGTCCAAAAACGATCATTTATTCCGTTCATTGGGCGCTTGTGTGTTCCCACATATATGCCCGTATCTGACTTCATCTGCAGTTCATCAGATATTGGCGGTAAGCTTCTACTTATATACTTTACATACAATTAATTTTTTTCACTGAAAAAAATTATTTATGAACTGTACAGCCGAAAAATGCACAAGTTACGGTATATTTGTTATATTTTATTTCAGGTACTGGATGTAAAAAATACTCAAAAGACACTCACCACGAAGAGAAATGACAATGAAGATTCCTCGGATATGGAAAGCGAGTTGGAGGATAGCGAGAACGATGATGATGAGGAAGAAGAGGGGGAGGAGGAGGAGGCAAGTGTTTTAAATAATGACGGTTTATCAGAGAATGAATCCCAATCTGACGCAAGTGAGGACGAGGACGGGGATGAAGATGACACGGTGACCGATAAATTGAGACTGGCGCTACGTCAAGCGCTGGGCGATGCCGCGATGCAAACCGATGACGAGGACATCGACGTGGATCAAATAGGAGAGGAAGAGGGCAAACGATTGGATAAATCGTTAGCAGCGGCGTTTAAAATTCTCCGGGAGAACCGTCAGGCTCGTTCCAAAAAGCAAGGGAAAACGAGCCAGGCGTTGATGCACTTCAGGGCTCGCGTTATAGATTTGTTATCTATTTATTTAGATACTTGCCCGTCCATGGCGGTCACTCTAGATATGATCGTGTCGCTCTTCGCTCTGTTGGAATTCTGTATAAAGGATCCGCATCAGGGGCCACTCGCGCATAGAATTCGGGCTTGCTTGAAAAAGCTGTCGACGGTGAAAAAATTCAACGATACAATAGGTGTCGACGATGCTTTGCTAACGACCGTGTTAAAGGTAATTATTTGTAGCGATCAAGTGCAAGTTTGTTGATTAAACGATAAATATGATATGTCTCTTTAAGGCTCTGATCGAGAAAGGAGAGCGTTCTGTCTTGGTCTGTCAGGAACTCAACGATAAATTGGCTGAGTGCTGTACCTTCCTCGTAAGGTGCGCGCAACAAGCTGACTTGTCCACTAAGAGCATTGTAGAAATTTATGGGAAAAGTTTAACCGCGTTCTTTAAGAAGAGGGACTGCGTGCTCTCGTCAATATTGTTCAAGAGTGTATTACAGTTGTGTTGGGAGGATAACTGGCAGTTGGCTAGTCTGCTGGTATGTTAAAATGAATATCTAATCTGTTCTGTCAATGTAAAATAGCTCGTCTTACAGAATATCATTTAACTGTTTAGGTGGACTTTGCTTTCGACAGCAGTATTCGATACTTCCGCAGGAATCAAGCGTTGGAGCTCCTACTAATTTTCTATAACAACAATCGACTGCTGAACATGGATACGAGACATGTCGACGTGAGAATGAAACTGGAAACGACGCTTTGTAAAAATACTATAGACACGCTCAAGGAAACGTGTGACCTACGTGTGAACGATAACGGACAATCCGCTTCGTGTAACAACGTTGGCGCGCAGAAGAAAGTTCTGCAGAAATTTATCGGGCATCTCTTGGCGCTGTTGCGCGTCGTTCACTCGCGTCATTTGCCACAAGCATGGGATTGGCAGAGCGTTAAAGCGACGTTGACCAAGTACAGGAGCCAAAACGCTCTTTTCGGAGATGCGAAAACTGCCTACAAGAAACTAGCAGCCGAAATTGGAGTGCCTCTTAATGTGTGAGTGTAATTAACAAATTAAATCCATTCTCTAAATTGTTCGTATCATCTGCACGCTTCTTTATCTAACAAGGGATTTATTTTGTTTTTGATATAATTTATCGCCAGGCCATCAACGAAGGGTGATACTGAGCCGAACAGTCTCAATGGTACTGTTGCACAAAGTAATGGCAAACAAAGCAACGTCGGGTCTCAAAACGGCAAAGCAAGTGACTCTGAAGAAGAGAAAGAACCGGAAGAGGCCGCACAGAGCAATAATGAGCAAAGGAAAAAGAAAAAGAACAAGAACAGACAAAGGGACAAGCGATTACTGAAGAAAGAAGCGCGTGAGTTACGTGCGAAAGTTATGTCTGAGGATATAGAGCTGTTTAAATTTAGCAGTGCCAATTTGCCGGAGGACGAAGACGCGGCGGAGGTTCTTCAAAACGGAGATTCTGCGATCCCGGAGACGCCGCGGAAGAGGAATCGGGCGACGGAGGAGGGACGCGAGCACAAAAGAAGAAAACGTACCAATCGTACTTGATACGATTTGTAAACCTATAAGAATAAAAACTGACGAGACGCATACAGCACGCGAAAGTCGGGATGAATGTTTAGAATACGCCTGTCTGTATTTCAGATCTTGACGAAATATTTTCATACGCTAATTGTAAGGGAAATCTGTATACAGCTGTAATTAAGGTTTGTTACGAAAAACGCAGTAATTAGCGACGCACTAATTTCTTTAGAAAATATGGATTCCAAAGTTTTTTTTTCTATAACAACGAAAGAGTGTAAGTCGCCAGTAGTTTATTAACGGTAGAAAGAATTGTTCAACGACGTTAGGCTGGCAGATGTCTTTATTAGTTAGATTCCAACGTTTCGACCATACGGATTGTGGTCCTTTTCAAGGAATTAGATGTTAAATAATATACATCAAAAGAAATTGTCTCTAATCCATCCTTGGGTGTCACTCGGAGAAAAGTGTTTATTTCTATGTCTTCGTATCTAATCAGATATTCTAGAGTTGAATATGTACAAGATCAAAGACTGTACGAGGCCAGTGAACGTTAGATTCAAAAAATTAAAACGACTGCTGATAAGGCCCCCAGTATTTCGCTGCAGTTGTCTTTTGACGACATCAGACGCGAGAGATAACATGCTGAGAATTCCTTTTATTTTCAAGTAAAAAGATATGTATATGAAACAGTACTGATATATCAAGGCAAACACGGGTGCATAAGCGTATGCATAAAGAAATTTATTGGTTTAGTTCCTTATGCATGCGCTTATGACCCAATCAGATTTCTTATACATAGGTTTATGCGCTATGCAAGTTTGTTGAATAGACCATTATCATAATTATGTTTGTATTACGTCTGGAAAGTGCCTTATATCTATGCAGACTAATTTCTGTTCTATTTTTTAATTACTTTATATATATATATATATATATATATATATAATTTTAGTTGATCTATTTCGTTAAAACAATCGTAACGCCGATTAGGCATCTAAGCGTATCCTAAACATTTATCGGAGCATTAATTTTCTTTCTCGCTCAAACGCCACTCTCATTTTACATAGTTGTATAATAACGTTTTGTATAACTGCCATGTATATTACAAATAACTTTGCCTTTGTACATACAGAGAAAGTATGTGTGAATCTTTTAAATTTGGTCCACAAGTTTCTCGGGGTGGGGAGAATCCCTCCCCTAGTAGCAAAATATACTGGCGCAATATTGGGAAATAATGTAAATCTAATATAAATATTCCCAATAGTGGTCCAATATTGTAAGACGGACGTCTTATCCAGCTAATATATCTATTCAGCAATATTGGTCTAATTAAGTCTTAAAAAGTTTCGCAAAATTTGCAGTTTGCATCATCAGGGCTGGGTGACTGGAACTGAGCTCCCTTGAGTTGCGGTAGCCCTTAAATACCCGTGTATATTGTTAAGTGTTGGCCAATGCACTTCCAATATAAATCTAATATAATTATTATCGTGCGATATTTACGTTTGTTCCATGGCCAATATTGGCTTCACGTTGGGCATTTCTAATGTAACGAAATTGCGGTAATGTTTGGGCCAATGCGCTGTGCTACTAGGGTCTGTGTTCCCAATTTCCGGGGTGTTACAAGTTTTTTGTTTTTCAAGACTCAACTGAACATCGAGTGATTTTCTCTAATTGACGTCATTTACGAGTTTGTTTTATCTAACGGATGATCATTGATGAGACCATCCGACGTTACTGCTGGGAAACGAGAAGTAAAGGCCTTCACACATAAAATTCCGTAAGGGCGTAAAACGTAAGTATAAGAAAATCGACCAATCATAGGCCGGTATTCATAGTCGATTCTTACTTCAAAATCATCTTAAGTGTTGCCTTAAGAGGCTAATACGGCTCTGTGATTGGTTAAAAAGACATTAAGAGTATAGTTAAGATGATCTTAAATATAAGAACGGACTATGAATACCGGCCATAGTCGAGAACGTAAGGCAATAACGCAAGCAGTAGCAAATCCAATCTGTTGATTTTCTTACGCTTACGTTTTACGTCCTTACGGAATTTTATGTGTGAAGGCCTTAACGCGATTGTTGCGTCTAAATGTTACTAGTACATTGTAAGTTCGGAGCAGAGCAGGCGCGCTCGGCCTCGCCGGAGCGTGTCACTAGGCCATGTGCAAATAGCTGGGGCGGAGTCGGGTTTGCAGACTAGAGTTTATCGTATCAGATCAGTTTTCTTCCGCCGACTGGAGGGAACGCTTCGTCCGTCGCCACCGACATGCTGCGCAACGTGCTCAAGAGGATTCAACATCTGCGACGCTACTCGTCCGCGGCTCTGCCGGCGCCGGACACGAACCCGCCGATTCTGTACACAGGCGTAAGTGCGAAAACGAAAGCAAATCTCCGTATGTCGTGCACTCGTCGCGATCGCGTCCGGCGATATGGCGACTGTGAAAGGAGTGACGGGGTCAAAAAAGTAATGGGGAGATGAGACGCCACCGACACGCGCAAATAAAAACGCTCGTCGAAGTGGAGTAGACGCGTAGTATTTTCACCCATTTATGGATTCCCATAACTTTTACATGCCCCGTAGGCTGCTGAATCTGGGGGGGAAACTTGTCATCGCGCTCGAAGATCGATATGTGTGTAGGACGATCGTAATGACATTCCGGCGAAGTTCGCGCGAGACAAGTTTCGCGAGGCCGATCCTCGCGTCAACGCGATTCGCACCGCGTTGGCAGAAATGTGTAGCCAGAGTTCGCTGCAATGAACTTTTACGTCCGGGGGTCAATTCTGTCTCGTGCAACATAGCGAGAGTGCTGAAGTCTAATCTACAATGTGCCCCTTGCGTCTAGAAACATTCTCTTTTGTACTCGATAAAATGGTATACGATACATTGTACGCTGTCGACAAATTTGTTAAGCGTTTTGACTTGCTTGTATAAGATAGAATTTTTCTAGATGCGGAGAGCACCTTGTAGATTGGGATTAAAAGTGAGCGGCCCTGTCTCTTTCCAAGGAGACAGTGGCCAATGAAATATTGCATACGGCATCTTTAGATAAATTCAAGGCGGTCTTGAATATAAAGTAAACGGCACACGGTACTATTTTTCCTACTGGATTGCTTACGAGAGCCAAGCGGGCAGATTGAACTGGGCGGAATTGCGACGCAGGTCAGTGCTGTCGACCGAAGTGAGGCGCCGATCGGTATCGCGGTAATCGTGCGCGTTGGCATCTCGCGAGATTTTCTCCTGCAGCTGCGCGATTTCGAAAATGCGCTAGTTCATCGTCGTTGGCGCAGATTCTCTGCAACTTCAATCCAAGGTCGAACCTCGGGGATCGAGTTTTTTATTTATAATTTAAATTAAACTGAGAACGGTGAAACTCGTTAAATGTCAATGCAGCATAACTAAAAAGGTCAAATACATATTGACTGCATGGTCTCTTTCGCAAGGTTGTGTCTGAATTTTACAAAATTTTCTGTTTAAACGCTCATTCTGGTCTTAAATGAGTGTTTAAGCAGAAAAACCGAAAATTGCGTAAAATCGAGATACAGTCTTGCGATAGAGATCAGTCGATATGTAAATATATTGTTAATTATCATCTAAATAAATTCGTCGTTATTATTGGCCTCAACTTTAACTATTTATAATTTGATTTAACTCATTTTCTACTCTCTATAATGTTCTTCCAATTATTATTTAATTAAATTAATCATTTCACGTTCCTCGCGCGTATCTTAATACATATTTCGCACACGATATTCTTCAATCAAATGTAATACATATATAAGAAAATTCATGAATTCGTGCAAGCAGTCGTAAAAATAAATTTAACTACTTCCCACGCGCGAGCCTAAGACGCCATAGAAAGTCGGAAAGTAAGTCATAAATCAAGAGCCATTACAGAGGTCTTTTTTTATGACCAGTCACGTCTAACGTTTCACTTACGCGAAGACGATGTACATGGTAATATCTCCTCAGGTAGGGGTGATAGCGAAAAATGCCTTAGACAAATATTGTTGGGTTTCGAGGGGGACATAAGATGGTGTCATTAATTTAACCTTGAACAGTTGCTTGAAGGTCACGTGAAGATCACTTTCAATTTTTTAAATGGAACCCCCTATTGTTTATTATACCATCTTATTCTACTAATTAATATGAACAATTTTTGTCTGAAACATTTTTTTATTTGCCTAATACTTTTTGAGATATTCGAGAGAAAATTTATAACTTTTTCAATGTCTAGCTTATGATATCTCGATAACTGTTTGTCGGAGGAAAACGTAGTACGGGACTTTTTTAAATTGATTTCGCCTCAGGGATATGCTGTTGCCATAGTGCTCCAATTATTGAAACTTTGTCTATGTTACAATACACATTGTTGCATAAAAATACGCCACTAGTGGACGGTTCGGCTGCTAGCCGAGTGAACCGGCTGAATATTCCTTCAAGGTAGTTTTCTTTCTGTTGTTCTTTGAATTCAACGTACTCGGGTATGTGTCTCAGGCCCGAACCTCAGACAATCTGTAGTTCGATTTATAGCTCCGTGTGTTACGTCAGGAAATAAGAAGAAAATTAGCGACTTAATTGGGCGCGCTTGTATTACAATACTTACAGCTCGTAATCAGCTTTGAATGCCAATGGCGATTCCATTGTTATCTAATCGCATGTTCGTTGTGTAGCGATACTGACGTAATATTTATCTGGCTTAATCAGTGCCCGACGAATACCTTTTTTCGTTTTTCGTTTCCTTGAATTTAACAAGCGAAGAGAATACGTTATTTGGAAATAAAGCATTCGAGCACTTTCTTTTATGCAACCGACTCGACTCGGGAGAACCAGCTTGCCGAGGCTCGGGGCTTCTCTTGCTTTATCTTGCAAAAAGAGAACTATAGAATTCCAATGTTATCAGAATAGAAAGATCGGAATACTTCGATCAACATCAACGTTGTCAAATTGACGATTTGGCGTCAATTTGAAGGTGTCGATATTGATTCGACATCGATCGACGAGTCGTTTCTCGCTGGGACCCGCTTAATTCGATTAACTTCGAAAACGGCGAGGACACCGCCGTTTCAATCAATTTGTATAAACTAGAGTTCTAATCAGAGTCTGACCAACAAGCGAGTTTCGGCAAAACGAGAGAGAAAAATATATTCCCTCTCTCTCTACATACAGCATATGCGTCATGCAGATTGAAGGGGAGCATATTTCTTTCTCTCTCGCATTATTTCGCCGAAACTGCCTGTTGGCCAGACTCTGATTAGATTAGAGGGACTCTAGTATAAATGTAATTGAATTACGTAATTCATAATAAATATCTTCTATCCTGAGCCTACCGTAGTGACGGCGATTATTAGACAAGCTATCTATTTATATCGCGTTCGCGATAGGTGACGTTCTTATCTAAAAGGTATTGTGTGCGATGCGCTTTCTGACATACAGCACGCAGTGTATGTGTCATACGTTTCCTATGTTATGCACAGGGTTGGGAAAGTCACTTTATAAAAGTATCTAGTTACAGTTACAGTTTTTTCGCTAAAAATGTAACTAGTTACAGTTACAGTTACTCAAAAAGTGACGAATCGTTACTTTGCAGCTACTTTCTTGCAATGAAAATAAAAATATCAAATTCGGTAAGACGAAAAAATATTTTTTAGTCAATTTTTCGCTTTACCGAAAGGTGACTTGCAACTCCCTGAAAATGTCGACAATAAACCATCCTATAAGTATAGATAATTGACTAAATTGTCGACTTAAAAAGTTGACTTCAAGGTGACTAAAAAGTGTCGATTATCAGCCGGCAAACAGTCATTTGTGCTATGTGAGTATGTATAATATAATATAAAAAACGCGCCAAGTAAATAGGCGGCCCGGGGAAAAAGCCATATATCTAATTTTATTTAATTGTATCAAATAATGTCAGATATGATACAATTTGGTCAGATTATATCAAAATATTAACGCATCCATTTATATGTATATCAAATCAGATGTGGTCAGACATAGTCAGATAAAACGCTATAAACATACCGTTGTATTATAAATGGATTAAAATTTGGATATAATCTGATCAAATTTTATCATATCTGACATTATTTGATACAATTAGATCAAATTTGATATATGGCTTTTTTCCCCGGGGGGGACACACAGCGTAAGCGAGACGCATGCTGCAAAAATGTATATATCTCTTTCGCAAAGTCGGATCTCGATTTTACGCAATTTTCGGTTTTTCCGCTTAACTCATTTAGGACCAGAATGCGTGTTTAAGCAGAAAAACTGGAAATTGTGTAAACTTAAGATACGATCTTGGGAAAGAGACGAGTCGATATTTTATTTCGTTACAGATATTTGTCAACAACGAATGGCACAAGTCCAAGAGCGAGAACACATTTCCCACCGTCAATCCGACCACCGGCGAGGTGATCGCCGAGGTACAGGAAGGTGACAGCGCGGACGTTGACTTCGCGGTGCGGGCTGCTAATAAGGCCTTCAAGAGGAATTCACAATGGAGAACCATGGACGCCTCCCAAAGGGGGGTCCTTTTGAACAGATTGGCGGATTTGATCGAGCGTGATCAGAAATACATCGCGGTAACGCGAAATATTGATGTTTAATACGGGATTCGGGATTACCGACGTATATTTGAACGATAGACAAGCTTTAGAGATCAACTAAGAGTGCTTGTGCCTTTTGATCTGATATTTTCTTTTGTTTTAAATCTATGAGATTGCAAAGAGATTGCAAAATATTTTGCTACCTTTGTCGACTAGGTCAAGAGTAAGTGACTGATAATATTCTACATTTGCAAGTGAATACTAAGCCATTTGCAAATGAATTGTATTATTCGTAATGTATCGTTTAGCAATTCAAATGTCGCTTTTTACTGCGAACGTGATTACAGTGCGCGATATTTCCATATCCGTATGACTCAATAAGATTTTTTCGTAGCGTAAGACACAAGTGGTAACATTTTGTATCGATTTATTTGCCTCATTTATGAAAATGTAGCGAATATTTAAACTACCGCGGGGCTTTTCTAAGCTACTTGGGTCGTAAAAATTAATGGAATATTTGGCTTGTCCCAGATTTTTTTTCACAAGCGAGCTAATCCGTCTACTACTACCTTTCAGTCCTTGGAAACCTTAGACAATGGAAAGCCATACTCGATGGCGTACAGCGGGGACGTGCCCATGAGCGTTGGAGTACTGAGATATTTTGCCGGATGGGCCGATAAGAATCATGGAAAAGTTATCCCAGCTGACGGGAAGGTCTTTGCTTACACTAGACACGAGCCAGTGGGAGTATGCGGTCAAATTATTCCGTGGAATTTCCCTGTGTTGATGATGGCATGGAAGTTAGCGCCGGCTTTAGCTACAGGTGTGACCATACGCCAGAGCTTTTAAAAAGATACCAATACCGATATAGATACAGATAGAGGAAAGTCCCCTATTAAGAGATAGACTCATAATGTGAGATAGTGGAGTCTGCTAAATCAATAGGCATCATCTGTTGGTTCCACCTTGAATTTATTGCTCTTGGAGTGAAAATCTGTTTAATGGAAAACTGCTTGTTAGATCGTGTCGAAAAATCATTGCGAAAAAAGATTTGTCATTGAATTTGGACGTTGAAAGCCTACCATCTCACATTAGAATCCTATCTCACGACGTATCGGTAATCCGATGCCGTTGCGTGCCCCTTGACTAGCAAATGTCAGTTTCTAAAACGTGATTTGTTTTAAATATTTTTCTCTACACATATCTATATCTGTATTTTTCTGCGAAGAAATAATTCAGTGTATCTTGTAGCTATGTCTAAAATTGAAGTAATTCAAGAAATGTAACTTGTATCTGTATCTCTTCACTGAATCGATTGAAAATTTATCTTGTATCTGTATCTTTGATGAAAAAAAGTCAAGATACCAAGTCCTGTCGCATACAAATTATATATCATACCATTTTTCGCGTCTTTTCGTGCGAATTAACGAAACCGTTGGAGGCGTAAGTTCAGGCAGCGCATAAAATTGAAGTCGTTATTTTGTTCCTTAGGAAACGTCGTTGTTCTAAAACCCGCTGAACAGACTCCGTTGACAGCTCTCTACATGGCGCAATTGACTAAAGAAGCTGGATTTCCTGACGGAGTGGTCAATGTCGTTCCTGGCTATGGTAAAACTGGTGCCGCGTTAGTCGTTCACGACAAGGTTGACAAGATCGCATTTACGGGTTCCACCGAGGTCGGCCAACTAATAAAGCAAAATGCCGCTATTCACAAGTTAAAGAGGACTACGCTGGAGTTAGGTGGAAAATCCCCGAATATCATTCTTAAAGATGTCGATGTAAATATGGCGGTTGAAGCAGCGCATTTTGGATTATTCTTTAACATGGTAATCCATTTTGACGTATTTACGCACGGACAACCCCGTCTCTTCAGTCTCCTTCAATTTGTGGTTCACTTATTTTTTAATTAAATTCTCGCCAGGGTCAATGCTGTTGTGCAGGCTCAAGGACGTTTGTTCAATCAAAGATCTATGACGAATTCGTCGAGAAAAGTGCGCTTCGCGCTAAAACTAAGCCCGTGGGAAATCCGTTTGACTTGAAAATAGAACAAGGCCCACAGGTATATTCGAATTCGTACAGATTAGATTGCTAATATTAATCGACAGTATTTTTAGTATTACAATATTATATTATCGTGCAATTATGGTTATTTAAATCATTGTTCAAGATTGACGAGGAGCAGTTAAATAAAATTATGCGTCTGATAGAGACTGGTAAAGATCAAGGCGCTAGTTTGATGACAGGCGGCGAGCGCATTGGCGATAGAGGCTACTTCGTTGCTCCAACGGTATTCGCAGATGTTAAAGACGATATGACTATAGCCAAAGAAGAGGTAAGCATTAAAATTATATTTCATCTGTAAAATGTAACGTAACATATTAAGAAGAAAAATCTACTCCATTCCTTTGGCAGATATTTGGTCCGGTTCAGCAAATCCTGAAGTTTGACGATTTGGAAGAAGTTATTGAACGCGCAAATAACACCGATTACGGATTAGCTGCTGCAGTTTTTACGAAGGACCTCAATAAAATGAATTATATAGTGCAGGGTCTTCGCGCCGGTACCGTGTGGTAAGTCGTTTGGAAATATTACAAAGAATGAAGTTGTGAGCCCTAAAAAAAAAGATACACGTTAATTTCAATGTTAATTTTTATATAGGGTCAATACGTATAATAATATAATTCCTCAAGTGCCGTTTGGTGGATTCAAAATGTCTGGACACGGTAGAGAACTTGGAGAATACGGTCTTGAGGCGTATACGGAAGTCAAAAGCGTAATAGTTCAAATGATGGAGAAAAATTCATAAAAAAGTATATCAAGGTCGCTATTGAAAAACCATTTTACAAGCATTTTTACTGGAAAAAACCAAGTACCACTGTACAAATATTTTTTTATATAAATTTAAAATTATTATATATACATTTTTAATCTCGTTGTATACAAATTTTTGTACTTTTCTCGTGTAAAACTGTGAGCGTTGAGCACACATAAAGCGACAGCAATAGTTTTTATAACATAAACTGTAATACGATAGCGAGATATAACACAAAGAAAGAGTTTCATCAAATATTTTAAATTCCTAATTAGAAAAAGTTAAATACATATTTTTCGAGAATATATTATACAATTTTTCTCTTTAATTATATTTTTTTATTTTATTCCTATTTAAGATATTTTAAGCACAATGAATGTTATACATTAAGGTGAATTTGATCAAGCAAGTTAACATAACGCAGACCTAGCTGTTATTTGTGCAAAATGTGTGTCATGCTGCATCAGGTTTTGCATGCAAAAATATATAGAAAATTGCAAAATGTGCCATACTTGTTACAAATCTTGCTGACTTCGTTGAATAAATACAAGTTAAATACTTTTACAGTTACATAGACAATTGTATTACCTTATTTTTTAAGTTCAAGACAATAAAACATCATTAAATCTGTTTTAATTTTCATTATTGAAATGGATTTTCATAGATGTATTGCAAACGTTTGTTTTCAGCGGACATGTCTCGCCTTCCAGAACCCCTTCCAGATCTTTTTTACAAAAACAAGATATGATGCTTGCACCAAGCGCGTCACCTATAATGTTAATTGTCGTTCTGAATCGGTCACTGCAAAATAATACATTTTCTTTTGTAGAATAGAAAGAATACATTCGTGTCAAAATTTGTATGGAGTATATTTGCATAAATTTTAAGGAAATATTTATGTTCGTGTGAAATTTATGCTCTCCCAACTTAAAAGAGAGAGAGAGAGAAAAAAGTTTTTTATATACCTGCAAGATGCACGATACCGTAATACTTACACAAACCAGTCGACAGCGATAATTAGTGTGATATCTTCGGTGGGCACTCCTATAGAATTTAACACCATTATTAACATCATATAGCCACCACTGGGTATGCCGGCAGCACCCACGCAGGACACCGTACATGTAATGCTGTGGAACAACAAACGCCATATTAAAAAATTGCAACGTTCAGATTATAATGTTTCAATTGCAGAATATTTCTCGAACAAAAAAAACTTATTGCAGTTCAATCGCGTTCACATTTTAATCACTGACCTGATAATTATTATCTTCAACAATGAGAATTGCAGCCCACGTAATTGTATAATAAATATCGCCCCGATAGTTTCGTACAGGGCAATCCCGTCCATATTTATCGCTGCTCCAATCGGTATAATGAACTTTGTTATTTCGGGATTTATGCCCAGCCCTTCTAAACATCTTAGCGTATAGGGAACCGTGGCGGTGCTAAATTATTTTCGTTTAATTAGAATGCGAAGTTTTGCCTAATGTGCACGTTAATGTTTTCTTTTTCGCTGTACCTCGACGACGTTCCAATGGCTGTTGCAAAAGCTGGGCCGAGCTTGGATATAATTTTATACGGTGACCTGCGTGTGATGATCCAGTGAAGGAGAGGCAGGATTACAAAACCTTGCAATATTAGTCCAACAAACACTGTTAAAATGTAAAATCCGAGATGACTTATTATATCGCTAAAATCGTCTATTTCCAGCATTCGGCCAGCGATAAGGAACGATACACCTACTGGTGCCATCCTAAATAAAAAAAATTTGTTATATAACAATGAGCGCGTGTAATTCATTCTATATGTTAAATATCTTTTATCATTAGATTATATCATTAAGAAGTTTTGTGTGTGTACAAATATTCAAAATAAAATTAAAAACATAGAATAACATTAGAAAAATCGAAATCTTTTTTAATAATATTAATAATATTTAATAATATGCACAGCAACGCGTACAGCGTTACCCATTTCATAATTTTCATCATCACGTCGGCTAAGGAATTAAAAAAGTCTGACAGTGGCTTTCCTCTTGCGTCTATCTTCCCGATTGCTAAACCTATTAACACACTGAAAAATACTAAGCCCAAGACATTTGTTCCTGCCACATATTCGCTCGTTATGGGCCATTCTTCTATCGGTACTGTAACGAATTAAAAATATGCTTTCATAAATTGCACAATGTTAAAGCAATTGAGCATTACAATTAGCTTACATCTTTATTCTACGCGTATAGAAATAGCTGAAGCAATTCTTTAAATTTATTTTTTATTCTTGTGTTGCTCAAGTGAAATTGACTAAAGAATAAGCTTCTATTATTTGCTGCCCCAAAGCACTAATATCAAAGATAAGCTTTTCCAACACAAATGGCATCTAAAAGATTAAAATTTAATTGACAAAGAAATGATTGCGAGTTCATTTAAAAAAAAAAGAAAAAGAGGAAAGAACCTACAAGCGAATGAAAAGATGCGATGTCTAGTGTGCCATAGTACCTGATGTGTTAACTGGCTGTTTTAAAACGGTTTGATACTGAAACGATAATAAGAAAATTTGTAGTTTTGATATGCTGCGATAAGAGATTGATTAAATGATATGTAAACGTACCTGATACATGCATGCTTCTACTAGATTCTCGGGAAGGAGATTACTGTAATGTAAGAGAGAAAAAAATATGTATACAACCATACAAAAAGAGACTTCGTTCTTCTTGTACAAAGCGTTTTTAAGCTCCAGGTATCCACTAAGAAATTATTATGCATTTTTTGAAATACAACTATTTGTCTTTTAAGTAGATTGCTCTCCATTTAGCTTCTTTCCTTCTTATATTATATTATATCGTTTTACGTTCGCAATCAAAATTTCAGTAGCTTCAAAAGTGCGCCGCATATTCATTTAATTACCGAAACAGATCCAGAATTGTGTCCATTGTCATAAAGGTTTTCATGGACGTTGGTACCTCAGCTTCTTGATCGTTTATCATCAATTCGCCCGGTCGAATAGTCTCAACGAGTACGACACACAAAATTATTCCAATCGTGGTGGTCGTTAGATAATAGCACAATGCCATCAATCCAATAGGTCCTGCACAATTGTAACAAACTCTAAGAAAATAATTTGCGATTATTGTATTCTTCCACGACTCTTCGCATGAAATGTATTTACAAATGTGTCGCATTTTATTCGTTAATTTCTTTTCAGAATAAAAGATACGTGTGTACGATCTCATTAAGACTTTGATATAGTCTTAAAGGACTTACCAGATCTGGTGAGATTGCAAGTGGCACTTATAATACTGGACGTGACAAGCGGCAATATCAAACAATTAACTACTCTGAGAAATATCTCTCCAGGAAATTTGATGTACATGATATCTCGCTGGGACCATGTTCCACCGCTGTAATGCTTGAGACTCAGGCCACACGATATTCCAATAGTCACGCCAATCAATATTGTTATTATCAATTTGTGTTTCGACAGCAAAGCTATCCATTTGGACATTGTAGCTTTCGTGGAACGCACTGTATTATAGCATACACAATAACTGAGAATTACACTTAATAATGCAGACAACTCTGGGAGAGAGGGTGAGAGAACCATTTATTGTTATCTATTATTAAAAATAATACACACAAGTTTTAGCTAACTTAAACGTGTTGAAAATTTAAACGCCTATTAATTATTAAGGTAATCTCTCAATTCTTTTTTGTTGCTGCTTCGACTTATTTAATTTGAAAGCCGACAAATGCTTCAAATACATTGCTAATATTGTTAATAAGAATTTTTACTAATATTATTACTTTACTCGAGCAGCTGTTTCTTTTTCTTCCTCTCCTACTATCCTACTTAAAATTTATTAAAAATTCAAGAATGTATGTTGAATAATTTATAAGATACTTACCTTGTATAAATATGAATGCGTGTCACTTGGTTCTTTATTTAGCTGTATAAGAGACACGAAAAGGATTAAAAATACCAAAAATTTCGCTCACATTATAATAAACAGAGTAAAAGTGCGCTTGAGCATGAGACAATTTAAAGAATACTGAACGGTCTTTTGGAGAACTATCTTGACAGGCTTTATCAAGATATATCATCTAAGACAAGAGGGGCTCTTTTATCAGGAAATGTTTTATTTAAACAAACGTATCTGGCGACTGAGCAGGCACTGTACCTCGATATCGGCTGCAATTTACCTACCCCTTCCTATTCACTACTTTACTTTTTAAATAAAAAAACGTCCAGACGTCGACTCACAAGTAGACTGGAAAAAATGTGCACGACCGGTCAAGAAAAGACAAAGACTGTGGGACAACGAGGAAATACGTTGAACCACATAATAAGAACATAATTAGAAAATTGCCCCAAGAACTCGGATCAAACGACCGCTTGGACAAAAGTTCTAAATCTTGCAATAAATTATTAATGGTGTAAGTAAAAGATTAGTTTTAATATCGTATTATCTCTGCGGCAGTGTATCTTTGTATCGCTCACTGTTAAATTTTACCTTTATTCGTGTAACATTAAGAGAACTGCATTATCCTCCGTAATGATGTCATAAATCTTATCGTATCACCATATTCACCTTGAATGATTTGTCGTTGGATGGGATATTATGAAGAAATGCGGCGGCAGTCGCGATGATGTAAAGCGGCAGCAATTAATTACTCCGGTGATCACGTGTAATATTCTTTTCTAGTTTTATTTATTTCGCACCTATTACAGTATAATAAATATGTTGCGAGAGACATTACGAGGGGGGTATTTACACACGTTCCTCATTTTCAGGCCATAACTTTACGTATTTGTATTAAGTCCGTAATATCGTTTTTTTGTCTTTAACGTCCTCTCTTAATATAATTTATACATATCTTTACAATATTCTTCTCGGTTTAAAGTTACCCATTAAAAGATCACATATGCATTCTATTTGCATCCAGTCTTCTGAAGAAATTTTCATCGTTAAAACTTTATCGTCTATTCTGGCATTAACATCACGACTAAAGTTTCTCTCTCTCTTCAATTTAATATTTTTTAAGTATATATACAGAATACCTCAAAAGCTGATCAATTTCTCTTGATAACAAACTTCAGCGACTTTTCTCTTTACCCCCGACTGTTGCAAATCGAAGTAGCTCCTCTTCTGAAAACCAGTGCGGTTCGGAGACTGGGCAGTGTTTGCGATATTCTGTATAAGCGTCGCATACAGACATACACATACACACACCCAATACGAACGCATATGTATATGTGTACGCGCGTATTACATTAGTGAGATCAGTAAATAATTCCATTAATGTTATATTTATACAAAGTCATGTTTCGTAAGTTTACATATCTATGTCTACACATACTTTCCCTATGCAAATTAATATTTGGTTTTGTGTGCTACGCGATCTCTCAGTTTTCCACGCTGTGAAATATTCATTCTTCCTTCCTCTTCCTTTTTATTTGAGGTAATTTGATTTTGCTCAAATAAACAGAGAAAAATTTGTTTATTGACTTTCGCTTTTTGTTCGCAACAGATCGCCATCCACGGTGTTGACTCGTAGTTCTTCGTCGAGGCAATCCGTAAGATACAGCCTGTGGCAGCGGAAACAAATGCATTTCATCATATTTCATATAATTTGTGTAATTATATCCATTTAATTGAGACTAATTATCATTGCGTCACTTCTTGAGGTGTGGCAACACAAGATTAATAAATGGTTTATTCATTTAAAAAATAATGTACATTTTGAGATTTTAATATACTTTTTAATGACATTAGTAAATTGGAAAGTTAAGTATAGTTTAAGTGTAAACTATATTTGGTAAAATACTTTTTAGACAAATTTGAAATGATACCAAGTCATTTGTCGTTGCTGGTAAATTTACAGATTATTGCAAGTATCGTACAGGATGGATGAAAATGACAAGTATGAAATAAATGATGACAATACCTGTCCCTACAAGGGTGTTTCCTTGCGCGCCTCCGCCTTCCATTGAAATCCATTTACACGCGTTGTAATAGGCTTATTTCTATTTGTAGCATTCTCAATTCCGTTTCTAACGCCCGCTACTAATCTCATGGCTGGGTTGTTGGACACCAAGCCATTACGCTTTGGTTTCACATTACTCGCACTGAAACGAAATATAGCTGCTTTAGACGAAATGTGTTTATACGAATAACATGTATGTATATTGTTTTGTCGAAGAGCTGACGTGAAAAGTTAAATGTCAAAAAGAAAAGTAATAATGTATCAAGATTTCAGAACAAAAAAGAAAAATCTCATTAACGTTAATACACATTTGTGCCTTTGATCGGCGATACATTTTAAGTAAACGATGTTAATAACCAATTGATACATAGCATGATAAATATGTCTAACATTGTCGTATGTCCTCCTTGACTACATATTCTATCTTTTTTCGCTCGGGAGGGTTGAAAAAGGAAGGAGAGCCTATCGCTCATGAAGCGGTGTGTCTTCCGTATACGACCATTGTGATTTCTGCAAAGTCTAAAGAATTGCATTGAAAAAAATTAAGATAATAAGTATGCTCTATAAAATTTCGATTGAGAGGATGGAATTGTGTACGCATGATTTTTGTGGATTATGTACACGTGCGTGAAACATAAGACAAATGTGCATAATATCCGACTGACACTCGTTGAGTCTTGTGAATGTATGCCCGTAAATAATTTGCGGTCTCTAAAATGTAGTCTATTGTCGTGTCTCGTGGATGAACAAAAACGTTTCACGATGAGAAAGGGTTAATTGTACGCTGCGATAAATATAATTAGAATGTTAGTATAGTGCTTGTAACTTGTGCTATATGATTTGTTTCTCATCAACTGCTTACCTGCCGGGTGTGTGATCCGAAATGTGCTTGACGCTTCTACCAACGCCAGCGCCGCTATTTCCCAATATTATTCTCATATGAGTATCTCGCGTAAAATGCGTGTCGGCCGAATTCCGTTTCTCCTCATGCCCGTTCTCCCTATCCTTCCCAATGTGCAAGCCTAACATTTCGTTTGTTAATTCGAACGGCTTGCTAATGTTATTCCTATCGATAATCTCGGTTTTAATATTGATAGGCTCGTAGATGACCGGCGTATGATTGTATCCTCCGATCTGCGCTTTGTACGGCATATTCGGATTTGCTGCCAGCAACGATACGCCCAGCTGACTCTGTATCACGTTAACTGCCGTTTGAGCACTAGGTGGACTCGTGTTTGTAGGTGAGTAAGGAATAAGGCTGTCGCTTAACGGAGAGTGCGGAGGTGAGGCGTATATCGGGCTTTGCGGCTCGCTTTTCAACGGTGATAGTAATTTGCTGAGTGGCCGACTCTTTGCTCCCCTTGAACATTGCTGTAGTTGTTGTGTGAAAGATAATGGTGTCTGAAATGATAAAAATTAGGAAAAGTTAAATAATTTTGTAAGTTTTTTGGGGAATTGAATAATTAATCATAATATGGTATACAATTAATTTCATCGACCAAACGAGCATCGTGGAAGCTGTGTACCTTAATTACCTGACAGTTAACCATCGAGTTTTGATTAAACTTTCCTTGATCGCTCTTAGTGCTGCCGGTTAAGTTGCTGCTAGATTTGCTGTTGCTCGAATTGTTGCCTAGAGAAACGCAACTGCGTCGCTTCGTCGAGTCCGGTGATTCAGCTGGGCTGTACTGCGTCGACAGAGGATTCAGAATCGCCGACGAAGGTTTAGTCTCAGCCGTCGAATTGGATGTCACAGAAGTAGCACTACTGCTACCACCTGGAAATTATATAACATATCATTATTGTTTCAATTTTCGACAAGAGAGGAGCGACAAGAGCGATTTCTATATTCTCTTTCTGAATGTTTCCAAGTGTTCAAATTGGATTATAAATTAACAGAAAACGTGAGTGACAATTGACCTCCATTGATGCCGGGCCTCAAACTGCGTTGATTCGCAGAATGCTCTTCTAACAATCTAACAACTGTATCGTGACCACTTTTAGCAGCTACTTTAATAGCATTACGTCCACAATGATCGGAGTGATTGGGATCGGCTCCATGATTCAAAAGCGCCCGAACACAATGCTCGTGTCCTTCCTGAGCGGCTATACCTGTAAAATCACATTCGTCTATCAGCTGACATGCTTCAGTTTTATAAAAACTATAACCAAGTTGTAAAAGAATATTCTTTACATCGTTGATGTACATCTTATTCACCTAGATGTAGATTATTCATAATTAATGTACCTAGAGCCGTAGCACCTTGATTACAAGTGTGGTCGGGAGTGGCACTGTGTTCCAGAAGCAGCCTGACGATCGCCGCGTGTCCTTGCCAAGCGGCCGAATGAAGCGGCGTTCTATTTTCATTGTCGCAAGCGTTTACGCTGGCCCCACCCTCGGTTAGCAATAACGCTACCATTTCGACGTGTCCCTGCCAGGCGCTTACGTGCAACGATGTTCTGCCCTGTGGAACAGCAATGTAGTAATTACTAATTTCCAGGTGGAACACACGTATACGAATCATCTTAGACATTAAAACAGTTAATAATTATTGAGCGTCTTCCTTCAATACAATTGACGATTACTTACTTCCGAATCTCTACTTTCGATATCTGCGTTCGCGTGTTCCAGCAAAAACCTCGCCATAGCTAATCTGTTTTCTAACGCGAGTATATAGAGAGTGCTCCTTCCATCGGCATCCTTCGCGTTAACGTCAGCATTATGCGATAATAATATCTTTACGGCATCGTAATGTCCTTCTAGAGCCGCAAGCCTACGAGAGATAATTCATTTAAAAAATGTCGATAATCTGATTTGCGATTTAATTTATTAATCAAATTTAAGATTTATTAGAGAATATGATAAACAATTAAATCTACAGCTTAAAGAAAAGTAATTTTTTTCTAAAAAAACGCATAAATAACAATTCGTGTTTTAGATTGCAGTCCGAAGAATGGTCGTAGCTCTTTGTCGATTAGTTCAAAATTATATTAGTTTAAAAATAACAGTATATAGTAGAATCACTGATGATTATCAGCACAGTACCTTAAAGCGGTTTTACCATCGTGGGCATGCTGATCTATAGGCGCGCTGTGTTGTTTCAGCAATCTCTCTACTAACGACGTGTGCCCCTCTTGCGCCGCGAGCATAATAGCGCTCTTTCCATCATTGTCCGTCTCGTCAATCTTCGCGCCAGCCTCCAGTAACGCCTCGCAAACGTCAACGTGACCCTCGAACGCCGCATAGTGTAGTGGGGTCCAGCCGGAATTGTCTCTATGCTGCTCGTCTAGGCCTTGCGTGGAAATTACATCTCTTTATACACTTGTAACCGAGAGAAGGAGACGGTGACGAAAGAAAGAGAGACCAGGCACAATATGCTTGGGCCTGTTAAACTAATTCTACCTCTGGCGAGCAATTGCTTCACGACATCCGTGCCGCCCTGGGCAGCGGCCACGCTGAGAACGGTCCTGCCTTCGTTGTCTATAGTGTCGACGCAGCAGCCCCAGTACAACAAGAGCTTGACGACCGATCCGTGTCCCATGCTCGCGGCCGCCCACAAAGGCGTTCTCCCGGTGACGTCGCAATGATCCATGTCCGCGTCGAATTCCAGAAGCAGGTCGCAAACGTCGCGGTGACCCTCGAACGCGGCGACCAATAGCGGAGTCATGCCGTCTTTGTCCTCGTGATCCACGGTGGCGCCTCGCTCTAAAAGTATCGTGACTACCTGCGGCAGACAATTGACATAATTTTCACAAAAATCATTTTCACCGTATCTATAGAATTGCACCAATAAGTTATCACAATTAATTCAACAATTCTCGAATGCTTGAATCGTTAGCGCACCGATTTACACTAGTTCAATGCAACATTTGCCCATTTGATATACATGTGCCGGACGAACCTTCGCGTATCCGTGATTGGCAGGAACGCAAAGCGCGGCGACGCTGAGCGCAGTTCTACCGTCGCTGTCCGCGTGATCGATCTCGGCGCCGAAGTCCAAAAGATGTTCCACGATCTCGCTGTGACCCATATACGCCGCGGCGATTAAAGCGGTTCTACCTTCGTCGTCCGTCCTGTTAACGTCCGCGCCGTGCTTTAAGAGGGCCTTAACGATATCCTCGTGGCCGCCCCATGCGGCGGCTCTTAACGCAGTTCGTTGATCCCAATCCGCGCAATCTACCATAGCCCCGTGCTTCAGAAGTTGCTCGACCACCTGAAACAGAACTCGTGAGAAACACCTGTTTCATTTACGACTCGCGGGGCCTGCAATTTAATGATCTTACTCAATGAGAGACTATCTCTTACATATTATATGTAACGCGGAGTTAATGAGGCTTGCATATGTTCTTAGAAATTCGCCACTTAATCTAATTATACCTGAGTATGTCCTCCCCAGGCGGCGGCCCTGAGGGCGGTCCAGCCGTCACAGTCCGCGTGATCCGCCCTCGCGCCGGCAGCTAGGAGAACGCGCACCACGTCCGCGTAACCGTGCCTGGCGGCCAAGTTCAACGGTGTCTGTCCATTCCGGTCGACCGCTTCCAACTTTGCCTACGTAAATTCAGAAATTCATTAGCCACTTCTTCAATAGTATTACGTGGGAAAACGAATATAACTGTTTTCAAGTAGAAATCTATTTAAACGATATCTGTTTCCAAGTGTTTTCCCAATGCCATTAAAATAGTTTGACGAATTTCTCAAGTAACCGTGCATACTGAAATCATCATTAATTATTAATCTGATTTCGATTTGTGCCAAATCATCATTAATTATTAATCTGATTTCTATTTTAACACAAACAGAAATCAGATTAATAATTAATGATGACTTCAGTATGCTCGGTTACTTTAGAAACTCATCGAGCTATATCGGTATTGAGAAAAAAAACGTAGAAACAAATTTAATGTTTTATTTCTTCAAATAGACAACTACATCTATTTGAAACAAAATTTCTTATTTTTTGGCAAAAAAAATAAAAATCAGATTTATAATTACACGACTCGTAGCTCTCTCTTAATTAACTAATTAAAAATTGCTTTAGTTTGGAAACGTAGTTTATGTACCTGCGGACAAGCTGCAAG